CCGTAATATGGGCCGTTTAATTGCTGCATTTCATGTAATCTGTTTAGTGTTTTTCCTTAGGTTCTCAATACAGGATGAATGGGAAAGAGGCCATTTTTGACCTTAGGAGTCCAGCTAGACTAAACAGAACAGAAAAATTTGTCTTACCAGCCAACGAGAATCAGTATCTAAAAACAATTCAAATCCCCCCCTTCAATACCTCTGGGGGTACCGATCCAGGAGTTTCCTTGTCTTCTGGATTGGTTCAAAATTACAGGGCTACGGCGTTGAACATTTGTAGTCGTAAACCCAAAAATTGGGTCGACTGTTCAACGGCGGTCATAAAATAAAATAAAATAAAATTTAAATCCCCTCTTTTATTCCCAACTCGTTGCTACCAAATGTCTGCTCTTGTTTATCTGATTCTGCAATGTATGCGGGAAGAATAAAAAGTGAAAATGCGAAATCCACTAAGAAAACTGTGTAAAGAAATAATAAAGTAATAAACTTAAAAATATTTAGCTACCACTTTTTTTTATAAAATTTAATATAAAACTATTCATAAAGCTATAACGAATTAGGAAGAATTCCCTCCGCTTTGACTTAATTAAAGAAGTGCTAACTAACGTTCGCATTAATGTAACTGAGATTAAATAAATTTAAATCAGTTTTAATTTAATATATGATTCGACTTCTAGTTTAAAACAAACTTATTTACTTGATTCCCTTACTTTGAGCTAAACCAAGTAGATTCATTTAAGGGAAATATTCTTACAATTTTTAATATAAATAAATTTAACTTTAAATTAAGTTTAAAAAAATAGTTAAATATCCTTGTAATCTTGGTAACTTTTGATACCAAATTGAAAGACTTATGAGCCTTACCTTGTAATGAACACACAAACTTGAGAAACAACAAAAAAATATAGAAACACTGTATCATATTCCTATTTTAACTTTAAAGCTAAGATTTAAATGTTTTGGTTGTCTTAACCCTAACCTTCAACATTTGAGACTCATGCCAAATAATTCCTCCAGTGATAGTGAACGAAAGCTGACAGCTTTAATTTTTTTTAAAACTTTGAATAGAACTAGAAATTGGGCGCGATTTGCTAGCAGACTTTATACATTTGCTTCAATTTAAAAATCACTAAACTGTGTTTTGGGCTGTATTATTTGAAGAGTCCGGATCTTAATCAATCTTGTAAGGTAGTGATGCTACAGGCAACTATTTATGTAAAGAGAGGAAGAAGCTCTATTCACTTTTATATATTAATTATCTCTTTGATTATGCAATGGTATCTGCCATTATGACCTACATTTCACATTATACTGCCGTTTTTTGCAATCTCCTTCAATAGCAAATTTGCTACCACGTTTTTCATTAGGGCACTTTTTGCGTCAGCGCAAAATTAGAGTCCGGCAGTTAAACAGTTAAGACAACTGCTGCGTTGTTACATTTCGGTTTGACGTAAGAAGTACTTTATGAAAAAAGTGGTGAAATATTTATGCATAATGATCATGGATTTCAATGAGCTCATATGTCTTTATTTCTTCAAAAAAAAAATCGTGAATGACATAATTGAGTTACTAGTCTTTATCTTTCTGAAAAAAGTTCATGGGAAAGTTGGCCTTAATGGGTTAAAGGTTTTAAGCTTCCTACGTACAAATTGCAATTTTTAACTCACATCAGAAATCATTCTGCTCTAAAATCTCGCTCGCCTGTTCTTATTCTAAATACAAACCTCTCTCGAGTCACAAAATTCGCGAGTGACAGTTTTATTACTGTTTTCATGTCTGACCTATATTTTTAGACAAATGGGGCGTTTTTCTTAAGCAAAGCTTTTTGAAAAGTATTTTATCGGCCGGTAAACTGCTAAAAAAATTGGTTACGAAATTTCGGTAATTTCGCCAACATTTTAAAAGCCTTATCACCTATGAATCGATCGGAATTACGTATCATCTTGTATGAAACTTTTAAATTATTTACATATAAAGATGTGGAAAATAGCTTTAAATCGAATTTATGCAGCAAATAAAAAAACAATGAAACATAAACTTAACTACCACTGGAAGAAATTTTCTCGAAAATCTTAGAAACGTAGCCTGATTATCGCGTAGGCACAATAGGCATGGGGCAAGGGCTCCCAATTTCTAAAGGGGCCTCAGAAATTGGAAAAAAGTCTAATGAAAGGTTGGCTAGCTTTGTGTTGGTTTAACACGTTCACGCCGGGGTGACCCACCGGTGGGTCACGCTAGATTGTCTCATCGGGAGGCACACCGGAGTAAAAACTGGTAACAAATAAATTTCATTTTTTAGTTTTTCTCCTGGAATAATAAAAATCCATAACTACCAATTGTTTTTAACGGATGCAATTTTTATATTGAATTGCTTCTCCGCCGTGATCAATTTCCTGACAGTGAATTGTTACTGTTGAGAATAGATTAACTCCTCCCGAATATTATCTAATATTGAAATAGTTCTTCTACCAGTATTTTCTCTTTTCCGTCCCGCTTTCAGGCGCAATACCCGGCGTGAACGCGTTAAGTACTAAATAAAAAAAATAATTCAGCAAATCAGTGACTATTTGCAAAAATCACTGATTTCAAATGTTTGTGGTCTCCAAACTATTTTTATTTTGATTTAGCATTGTTTTGTTGTTTCATATTTGCCTTGAATTTATAGATACGTAAACTTTATCTTAGAAAAATAATCTTCAATTGTCTGCTTTCAAAATTTCTTAGAATGTTTCTTTTGAATCATGCAGTTGAATAAATTCTTTTTTATTATTTTAGGACTACTCTTCAGTAATTTAGTTTTAAATTGCTTTGTAAGGGGCCCGAAAAATTTGGTGGGCCTGAATTTATCTTGATCCGTCCCTGCGTAGAAAGCTGGCAGCCCTGATTAATTTACTCAACTCATCAAGATGAACTGTATCACTCTGCACCACAGAAGCTCTTCGGAGGGACGGGAGGGAGTGATGCAGGGTTTCGAGATGCTCGTTCATTTTCATCAACTCTCGATCTATATATGTAAATATTGTAAATGGTATTTTCCTTTATCCCAGTTTAAACTTTCAAACACATGAATTTAGTGTTTTTTCAGTATCTCAGCGAGATTTTTACAATTATATAGCAAATTTATGATACGTAAGCTTCTCACTCCCCCCCCCCCTCTTCCCTCATTTTATAATATCCAATTTAAATGAAGGAGCAGATAGCCCTTCGAGTTAGGTACTCCATGCCCTGTACTTAAATCGTCAAATCGGCTTATTTACTTTTATACGTTTAAGAAAATTAAAACGGAGTCGATAAAACTGATAGTTGTTCAGAAACAATGAGAATTTTGTGTATAAAATTTATAATTATTGCCTAATACCGTTTTACGCATAAGCACTTGTAACTTCGGAATAAATCACTCTCAATCAACTTAATTTTAATTTAATTGGATTGGATTCAGCGTAAACAAAGATACCGGAACTTGCCTATATAATAATCTCAGAATCATAAATTGGTCTAAGTATGAACCTTTACTTTTTATGCACAAAACTTTAATTGCATCTAAGCTACTAGTCCTATGGACTTGGATTTGGTTTCATTGAACTTAACGTAAATATATTGCATTGGAAATTAAATCTTTGAATTGCATTATTTGCTAAGTTCTCATGGGCCTTAACTTCAAAAATTGGTTTATAAGAAAACGTATTTCAATCATTTAATAAATTTGTGACTACACTATAAGTTTTTTTTTTTTTTTTTTTTGCAAATAAATAATATCTGTTTTTTCTCCACTGTAACATGGGCCATTTAATTGCTGCATTTAATGTAATCTGCCTAGTGTTTTTCCTTAGTTTCTCATTACAGGATGAAAGGGAAAAGGGCCATTTTTGTAATCAGGAGCCCAGCTAGACTAAACAAAACAGAAAAATTTGTCTTACCAGCCAACGAGAATCAGTATCTAAAGACAATTTAAATCCCCTCCTTTATTCTCAACTCGTTACTTCCAAATGTCTAGTCTTGTTTATCTTATTCTGCAATGCATGCGGGAGGAATAAAAAATGAAAATGCGAAATCCACTAAGAAAACTGTTTTAAGAAATAATAAACTTAAAAAATTTTAGCTACCACTTTTTTTAATAAAACTTAATGTTAAATTATTCATAAAACTATAACGACATTGGATAAAACCATCTGCTTCTATTTAAATTAAAAAAGTGCTAACTAACGTTGGCATTAATGTAACTTAGATCAGCGGTCAAGACGGTCTTTTTTTCGTAAAAGATTTACAATTTGGAAACTTTTATGAATTATAAAATTGGGGACGACATTGCAAAAATTCATTTATACTGTACTTACATGAATATAACTTAGTACTAACCCATTAATGCCCTGTCACAAGTGAGAAATATCTGTGCAGAAAAAGTGGTGGTACATAACATATTTGTTTAAAGCAAGTCGATATTTTATTCTGTTACCTACCATTTCAGCTTTAAAAAAATCTTATGCTGAGATTTCAGACTCAAATATAAATATCCATATTATTTACATATTATGGTAGAAATAACTCACTTGTTTCTGAAAAATAAATATTAACAATGGAACATTTGTGCTGCTAACCTCTATATTTTCTTTTTGGAAAAATAACTACCTTATTAAAAGGATGCTAGGCACAAATGTGCTAAATAATGATTACCAAGGAAACCAAAAGAATTCACAGCGTTCTAAATTAGGTAGTTCATGCTGTGTTCTGCAGAAATACCTCACATAGTTTTTAAGATTTGAAAAGTTTATATGTATCTAAAATCATAAAAACTAACGTAATTTAACAGAATTAGTAAACAAAAACTATCTATAAAGTCGATAAGATTTAGTTATTCTTTATTTTGGTTATGGGGCATCATTTATATCACTTTTCATACACAGGTATGCCCCAAAAGTTACATATTTTGTGAACAATACTAACTTATTCAATAAAAAAAAAATTTATGTGTGATTTATAGGTTTTCTTTTATTTCTTTGCAGGTTTTAGATGATTTGAATGAATTAATTGAAACTATAGCTTAAACGTTTCTCTCTTCAAAATCATCAAATGTTAAGTCGTCATAAAATTCTGAACTAAAGCCTTATGCATCCATCCTCAATTGACAAATGGTCAAACATGCTCTACCACACACCTCCAATTACCTTGGGACATATGATTCCATCACACCCTCAACCTACCCTTAGTTTTCCTCCAGCAGAACTAGTACCCTCTTACTACCCAGCAACTTTTAACAAAGGACAAATACCTGTAATGCCTGTTGCACAGCCAGTATGCCACCTACCAACATACCGTGAACAATACACCCCTACATACTCTAGTGCAGATACTGCCATGTACTTCCCCCAGTCTCCACTACTTCGCAATACTAACATACCTCATACTTTGGAGCCCACCTTAACTGTAAATAACCGCTTAAAGGCAAGATTTGATTTTTCCAAACTTGCTGAATCAGCAACAACTGTTGAAACACCTTTTCCTAATTCCATTGTAAGTCCAGTAGAAGATCCCTTTAGTTCTATAGTCACACCTTGGTGCCCATATGGAATAGTACCTAGGTACACAAACTCTAGAACAGCGTCATCAACCACAAATGGATCAACCAGGCCCAGGAAGGAATTTATTTGCAAATTCTGTCAGCGAAGGTTCACGAAGTCTTATAACCTTCTAATTCATGAAAGAACTCATACAGACGAAAGACCATATACTTGTGATATATGTCATAAATCTTTCAGAAGACAAGATCATTTGCGAGATCATAGGTAAGTAAAGAAATGTACATGTCATTGCTCTAATACTCCTAAATTTTCGAAAGGTATTATGTAGTGCATGTTATCCGAACCTTCAATAAAAAAAAACATTTTTTTTCACTTTACTTTGTTAATTCTATTTACAATATGGATATTTTTAAATGCAAGCTTGTTTGTTCCTTTATAGTATTGAAATTCTCAATCACAGGAATTTAAATAAACAAATTCCTGTTTGATTACTATCAATCACCAAATTAGTTCAAAAATTGCGATTAAAAAAAAATTAAATAGGAAATAACTCTAACGAATATGATTGAATTTTTATCGCATTGTTTTATTAGAAATTTATTTGAAAAACATATAATGCGAGGTAGTTGGGTTTTTTTTTTNAGAACACTTGCTTTTTACATTTTTTTTAATGAGGTAATGAATTTGCGTAAAATTACTATCAATTCCCGAGTTTGCGTTAAATTTATAATACGCGAATATTGGAATATTGGAAATTTGAACAGATATTATACAATGCAAGATCCTACTTTCTTTTCTTTTTTTACGTATAGCAACTGCAATAACGCAAATTAAAATAACTAACCCGTTCTAAAATACTATCCATCACCGAATTCGCTTATAAATTCATTACAATATATGAAATAAAGTAAATAATGCAATGAAAAGATAATTACGTTAGGATACTACTTCCCTCTTAGTAAATCTCTACGTGCGAAAAAACCTTCGCACAAAGTTTGAATTATGATTTTATAATTTCTCATTAAAATCAATGATTTAAACAAATTATTTTCATGAAAAAATAAATTAATGTTCATCTGAATTTTTATTGGAAAAAAAATTAATAAAATCAAAAAATAAAATAAATATAGGAAATTCCTTGTTTCATGATAATTTTTATTACTTGAAAATATTTTCTTATTTTGCTTTAATACATTAAAGTACTAATTTTTGCGGCAGTAAAAAAAAAAAAAAAAAAAAAAAAAAAAAAAAAAAATTTCTTTTGTTTTTTAATTCTCAATAATCATTTTTAATCGTTCTACACATAAATTTCTCTGTATAATTTTTTAATCTCTATATGTATAAATTACCAAAAATATTTTAATCCTATTAAATAGAATCCAGAAAATATTTTCTATGCAAAAAATTTTATTCATTATTTCACACATGCAAAATACGAGTCATATTTATTTAATTTATTAAATATAAAAAAATCAAAATAAAATCATAATCCAAAATATTGTATTTTAAGAAACTCATATGCAAACTAAACGTATAAAAGTTTTCGTATCATCTTACATGATTGAACTCAATATTAACTGACACAAAACAAACAAAATTATTTGCAATTGCATCACATTTCTTAGGATATTTTTAGTAGTTAATGGAAAACTTTTTTTAAAAAAAAACATACAAACTTTTTAAAAATGTGTGATAAATCAAAGTTTTTCTGAATTATAGATGGCAGCATGTACCACTACTTCACTTAAAATTTTGAAAAAGTAACATATTCTTATTAGAGATCGCTTTATTAAATTTTCTTAAAACACATTTACAACATCTTATAAACATTTCGTTTTCTTAATTTTGTTAACCATAATAAGATTCCGTTTTATTTAAAGGTTTGATAATTTACATTAGTAAGTTTGGTTTTATTAGATTTAATTATACATATTTTCTACATTATTATTTTGGAGCTTAATGGCAATTATTAAGTTTACTGCCACTACCGTAGATGGCAGCACTATGAAATATTATTTTACGTAATATAGGAACTATAAAGGAAAACTTTAAAAAAATCACTGAGAAAACAAATACAAAAAAAGCTAAGTGCTAATAGGACTTGTTTGAAATATAGATGGCAGCATGTATCACTACTTTACCATCAATTTTGAGAAAATTGCATATTCTTATTTGAAAATGTATTGAAAACTTTCATGTATTTAATTTCCTTTTCTTAATTTTTTAAACATTTTTCATAATAAGATTAAATTTCATTTGAAATTTTGATCCCTAGCAACATTAAGTATGGTTTTATTGGATTTATTTATATTATCATTATTGTTATCGTGATTTGGAGTTCAATGACGATTAAGTTTACTACCACAGTGTAGATGGCAGCACAATAAAATATTATAATATAGAAAATATCTTTGCGTGTGTGGATGAAGATCAAAAATAAAAGCTTCTCTTCTTTAAATAGTAATACTTCATAACTAAACAATTTTTTAAAACTTTTTCTCAATAATTAAAAAAATAAAATTGTGTTTTTTTTTAATTTTAATTTATTCATTTATTTACTTTTTGATTTGAGGATTCAATTTTAATACTATACGTCAGCTAGTTTATAGAATAGTTAAAATGCAGATTCGTTTCCTTTATTTATTTTTTTAAACAAAATCATTTTTAGCAACACGATTAAAACTAATTTTAATATAACCTTCAATCAATAATATTTTCCAACTATCTAAGCTTGAGTTCCAGTAATTATTTACTTCCTAAATTTGCCAATTGCAATATTATATTTTTAAAATTATATGAGAAAATGCTTCCTAATACCGTACTGATAGGAATGACCGTATAATTTGTATTTTATATTTCAAAAGATATTGATATGTGAAGTAATAAAAATTTGTTGATTTAGTTATGAAAATTTAATTCGAAACATCTTGATTTTTTTTTGAAAAATAACTTGACACAAACTGTTTATTCATTTTATAAATATTATTTAATTTCTGTAATTCTATTTAAATTAATAAATGAATGTAACGATTAGAAAGGAAATTAAGACCTATTAAATTCTAAATACCAGAATTTACATTTTTTAAATAACTAAATTTAAAAAAATTCCAACGATGTATCTGGTAGATTGCTAAATTCATATGTATAAAACAATTGTATTCTCATTTATTTATTTAATTTATGTATCAACTTTTAAGTTATTTATAATTATTTTTTTGAAAATAAGTATTAGTAGAGAACAAAATTTTGGTACATAAATTAATTTTAACTGATTCATCAGATAGTATTATAAATTGTAGTTCCCCTATAACTACCTATATTTAATTATAAATTGTAGCAAATTAAATTTAACTGCAAGTCCAGATTTATTTTTTATCTAATAATATGGAATTTTGTGAATTTGAAAATATATTTTATTTTAATAAATAATGTGAAAATTATTACTAAAATTTAACAATATTATAATTTAATTTTTTTTTAAAAATTGTCTTTAAAAGAGAACAGAAATTTTATTAAAATTATTTAATGATATAAATTGCACCCAATTTCGTAAAATATTTTTAACTAAACTTATATTTCTTAAAAATATATTTATTCACTTGACAAACACGTTTAATCTAAAGTTGTTTTAGTTTTTTAGTAAATCAAACTTTATTGACTAATTTCCTAAGTTTCAGCAGTATATTTTTAATAAAAAAGTTCTGTTGATAATCATTAACGAAAATACGCAATGATATTTCTTTTCCCTTTACAAAAGAAATATTGTAAATGGTGACTATTGTGTTATCCGTTTAATATAAAATTATTAGTCAGGTGATATTTTTAAATCAGTAATTTTCATTATAAATTAAATTTTCTTCTTTTGAATTTTCCTTTTTTATTTACTCCTTATAAATTAAAAAATAATTGTATTTTATTTACAGGTACATTCATTCTAAAGAAAAACCGTTCAAGTGCACTGATTGCGGTAAAGGCTTCTGCCAATCCAGAACACTTGCTGTGCACAGAATTTTGCACATGGAAGACTCGCCTCACAAATGTGCAACTTGTGGAAGAACCTTTAACCAGCGAAGTAATTTAAAAACTCATCTCTTGACTCATACAGACATTAAACCTTACAACTGTTCATCTTGTGGAAAAGAATTCCGTAGAAACTGTGACCTTAGGAGACATACTCTCACCCACGCCTCTAGTGGCGGTTGCGAGAACAATAATGGTTCTTCATTCACTTCTTCTCCAATAGATGGCGCTCCTACATCTCCTGCTAGCATTTGCGATTCTGGATTGGAGAGTGGAGATCAAGACCCTGGTTTTGATGATGATGATAGTGACTCATCGTTATGTCATGAAAATGAAATAGTAGACGTTGAAAATTAAAAAGAGGAACATCAATTTATTTATTTTCTTAATAAGTTAATAAATATACCCATTTGCAATAAATTTTATTAATATTAAACAGAAGATATTTCATATTTATAGTCTTAAAAAATGTAAACATATCTGCAATAAAAATATTAACTGTTTTACATTTGCACATAAAGGTTGTAGGATTGTAAGAGAATATGAATTAAATAATGATAATATAAATTATGTCTAAGAAACATTTTATTTTAGGAATTCTCAAAATCTAATTGTTAGCAATTACTTATGTTTGCTTTTTTGATTTAATTTAAATTAAAGAAATAAATATCATATTTGAATTATATTTCTAAAAATCTTTTTTTTTTTAAAGTAAAAAAACTAACAAAAAGTTGTTTTATATTTGTTATCAAGAAAAATGTAATGTTTCCTGCAATATAAAAATAAAAATTTCAAGAACTTTAAATATTTTTTTCCCAAATGTGTTAATAATGTGCTTGGCTATCTGTGATTAAATTTTGATTTGAGAGAAAATGTGAAATGTATATAAATTTACGTTGAAAATTGTATAACTTTGCTCAATATAAAAAAGGTTTACTAGCTCATTTATTAATTTGAAAATGTTTTTCTTTTCTGTTGTTTTTTGAGCTTGAAATTGTACTTAAAAGTGTGAATGTTATCAAAGGAAAGTATGCAAAGAGTTCTTTGTTTTCAAATTTAATTTTTATGTAAATTATAAATATTTGTTTATAATGCAATAAATATTGTTTTATATTGTACCATCCTCATCGACAATTATTTTATGCAATTGTTCTAAAAACAAACTGGATAACTCATGGTTAATTCTACAATTAAAGTTTAAAATTCATTAATGGTTCCAAGTGCAAACTAAGAAACTCCTCATTAGTTCCACGAAAAAAGCAATAACACTCATTATTAGTTCAAAAAATAAACTGGATGACTAATCAATGGTACAAATAAACTGAAGAACCCATAATTAGTTACACAAACTAACCGAGAATTCATAGTCTTCACACGAAAAAAACTCATTAAACTCCTTATCACACTTAATTATTCATTTTATAAATCTCATTTTTCAAGTTGTTGTCATATGCCACTAAGGCAAAGAGAGTGAGCTTATTCGTGTTTTCCAGTGGCGCCATCTTTAGCCAAGAATTTGACTTCTGTCACACACATACGGCACAGCCTGTTTATAGGGACTAACCATTCATACATCCACAGATCGTAATTTTGACCTGAACCAGTGAACGATCACTCTCCTATTCAATACCCCAGGAGGTATAGTTTGTTATGAGAACATGAAGGACTTTGCGACCCGACAGTTGTAACGTGCACCAGTCACCATTTACTACTGGTGGTGTCGTCAGCCGGCGGAAATAGAACTCACGACCACTTCGACAAAGGCCCAACGCCCTACTAATCAGGCAATCCCGTTCTCATTTCCTTGTACTTGACATAATTAAATCGATTTCTTACAATGGTCTTATAAACTGTTGCTAATTAAGAAATGTGTCGATATTTTAAAAAATAACTTTTAAAGCTGTTACATTTTAACTTTAAAAAAATCGAAATTCCAATCATTTTAAAAATTTAAAACCTAGTTCAAGTTTTCTTAAGGTAAAAGAAATTTTTATAAATTTGCCTTCCACTTTAGCTTATAAAATCATTCCTTGTGTTCAGAAACAAACTTATGCCTAATGGTATAAGAGTAATGTTCATGATCCGATACATAATAAAACCTTAAAATAGAGTTTCCCAACTTTTGACTTTGACCGAGATTTTTACTTCTGATTTAATGGCATAAAATTTGGTACTTGGTACATTATTTACGCCGCACTAGAGCTGCACAATGGGATATTGGCGGCGGTCTAGGAAAAATACCTGTAGATGCCATCCCCAAAGGCATCCCATCGCAATTTTTGAGCCTCCGCAGAGGGGATGAGTCCCCTGCTTTGGTAGCCCGTTGACCTGCTCTCGAAGTCGAGCACTTTAAGGTAGAACAGTATAACGAGGACAGATACCGCCCACCCTCGGACCCCGAACAGGCTGATCAAAGCGATCACCCATCCGCTTACTGACTGCTTCCAGTGATGCTTGAATTCTGTGTTCTACTGGGAACCATGTCTTTACGATCAGTCCACTGCTGGACAGCATAAAATATAATTTTACCTTATGACAATTTTCGAGTTATGCCAGGCACGACCGAGAAATGTTTTTTTCACATATTATTCTATTATGAGGCCTTTCCTCTTGACTTGCAAAGTTAAATATTCAGTTTGTAGACAGTGGTCGGTAGACTCTGATAACTTAGTAGTCAACGATTAATGAATCCCTTCCTCTTTCTTTCCGATAAAAAGTAAAAGAACCTTGGACAACCATATTACCACAGAAAAAGAGCATTAGAAATTAAATCTATGAATTGCAATATTTGCTAAGTTCTCATGGGCCTTAAAAAGTTTAAAAATTGGTTAATAAGAAAACATATTTCAATCATTTAATGCATTTGTGACCAACACTATATGTTTTTTTTTTCCTTTTTTTTTTCCTTTTTTTATAAATAAATAATATCTGTATAAAAATTTGTCTTACCAGCCAACGAATTGTTATCTAAAAAAAATTTAAATCCCTTCTTTTATTCCCAATTCGTTGTTTCCAAATGTCTAGTCTTGTTTACCTTATTCGGCAATGCACATACATGAAGAATAAAAAATAAAAATGCGAAATCCACTAAGAAAACTGTTTTAAGAATCAATAAACTTAAAAAATTTCAGCTACCACTCTTTCTTATAAAATTTAGTATTAAAAAATTCCTGAGGTAACAGTATCTTTTTATAAAAAATTCTTACTTCCTTTTAATTGTTTAAAAAAGTGCTGACTAATGTTGGCGTTAATGTAACTCAGATTAATTAATCTTAAATCTGTATTTATTTCATTTAAATTTTTAATTAATGATTCAACTTCTAGTATAAAACAAAGAAAAAGAGCAACTCAGAAGTATATAAATTAGGCAATCTCAAACCAACAATAAATATGGGACCGCAGTCTCCGTGGGCAGCAATCAATGGAGAAAATAGAAACTAGATAAACCTTTTTAATTTTTTAGTGAATATACCTCTAAATCTCCAAGTAAGAGTTGGAAGGACTAACCAACAAACGTTGGACCTTCCTGAAGGAGGTGAACCAGTTTTCAAATTAGGGGGAAGGAGATGTGTTGAACAACTGGACTCGTACGTGGAAGGCTGGTGCCATCATGTTCAACCATGGCCAATGCTCCAATGTTCTGTCAAAGCATCAACTCATCTCACAAAACCCTTTTTTTCCTTTACAGCAAGCTCAGACAGTCCAGCTTTAGTGGGTCTTTAGGGTTGAAGGATTGGGCATCAGGTGCACGAGACGACACGCATTGCTTCTGGATGGCAGATGCTGGTTACCCTGCCCGATAGGCTAGGGACCAAGGACCCCTGTAGTGCGGGGGTAGTTATTTTACTTAGGTCAACCACTAAAAGTCGCAAATTCGCTTCGCGGCTACCTGCGGTGACCAAACCTAATGATGATGGCTCAAAGGATAGAGCACTCGTCTCCTAATGAGCTGATCTGGGTTCGAATCCCGGATCGGATCGGCTACAGTGTAAAATTCCCCTCGTGGTAGACGGGTCATGGGTAAAAGTCTCTTTGCAGTCAGGCCAACCGTGGGAGGTTTGCGTATTTTTCCTCTCCATATAACGCAAATGCGGGATAGTTCTATTAAAAAGTCCTCCGTCAAGGCGAATTTCTTCCAATACTTGATCCAGGAGTTCCCTTGTCCTCTGGATTGGGTTCAAAATTGCAAGGCTACGGAGTTGAACGTTAGAAGGCGCCATTGCCTTAAATTTGCTTGTTATGTTTAAGGCATAATAAAGTTTTCGTTTCATTAAGAAAAAATTACATTTCGGTTTTTTTTTTTCTTTTTTTTTATTAATCTATGTATAAAAACTGCTGCAAATGAATATTATTATTTGGAAAACTTTAGTTTAATAAGATTTTAATTCCATTGAAATAAAAAATTTTAAGCAATAATTTTTTTTTAAATTTGGTGATAAAAATTTCCTTTTTAATTATAAATCATGCAAACTTTTACTAATCGGTGAACTAAATATTCAGCTGTCCGTTTATTACTATTTTGTTCATTGCTACATTAAACAAGTTACTACAACAAATTTGTACTAACTAGTTTGAAAAAGTAGGATTTTAAAAGGGGGAAATTTACAATAGTAGTCACAGACAAGAATTATTACAACTGCATAAGAACTTTCGAATGACTTTGTTAAACAAGAACAAGACTTTATTAAAGCTGATAAAAAATAGCGAATTTTCCATACATAAAAATAATCACAATCTTTTCAAAACATAACAATAAACTGATTTTTAAAATAATAATATAAAATAACAATAACAATTTTGCAACATAAAGTATGCTCTTATTTACATTGTAGCAAAAAAGTGAAATTTATCATATTCGATGTATATAAATTTATCATCATGAAATAGAATCTTCGAACAATAAAATTTTAGTCTTTAGACAAATAAAAACTTAGGTTAATTTTTAAAGTTATATGAAGAACAGAGTTCGATTTCATACAACTGGAACCTTTCTACTGACAAACTGTACAAATATTTTGAACTCCATAAGTTTCAGCCAATTTCATCAAAAGTTCCTTTTTTTCATCTTCCGGAAGAAAACAAGCTCGAGCAGCGTTAAAATTCTAAGGGGGAAAAAAAAGATTACTATTTAGTTATCATAAAACGAAGTTACAATACTTTAATATTCATTTTTACGTGGAATTAAATTTGCAAACAATGAGGTGAAATGCAATTTGCATTTTATATCAACTTGTGTTTTGAACATTTGAAAGAGAAAAGGCGCGTTTGACATAAATAACTTGGTATCATTCCTACCAATTAATAAGATTGAAAAGTTGTTGTTTTTTCTAATAGTGGTAGTAAATTTAAGAAAAAATTTTAAAATAAGTATTTTTAGAGAACATTTTTATAAAAGCATGTATCATGCACATGTGCATGAAGCATGTGCTGTACCTACTCCTTAAATGCATATTTTAAATCATGTTTTTTTCAATTCGCATTTTAAGCTTTGTCAATTTTCTCAAAAGCACCTTTTGGTCTATGTCCATTTTCTCAAGCACACATTTCATTTCTCAAACGCGTATTTTGAATTATATCCTAAAAAAAAGCTCACCAATAATAAAAAGTTCAACAAAAAATTTCAAAAATAAAATAGATTTTAGAATTAAAATCCAAAATTAAAATAAATATGCATTGCTTCTTTTTTTTTCTTTCTTTTTTTTGCATTTTTGAGTTGCATTAAAATAACAATTTAAATTTTAAAAAAATGCTAATTTTAGTTACTTTTAAAAATTTACAAATCACATCATATGGTTTTTAGAAAATTGCGTTATTACTTTTAACTATAAAAATTTAAAAAAATATATATATATTTAATTGGCAAACCGAAGGAATTAACAGCTGTAATACTATACAAAAAAAAATATTCACAATGATTCAATTAAAGAAAAATAATAATAATTAAATGATGAATACAATTATAATACTACTTTTTTTTAATCTTTAAGGAGTAATTATTCAACCTCAATCATTTTTATGTCACATATTGGATTAAGTTATCCGGATGTAAGCTAAATGTATTTTTAAAAGCACCCGTACAATATAATGCTATATTGATTTCTCCTTATCTCACAGTGCCCGGATGTTTAAAAATACAAATGTGTCACAGCAAATATTTAATCATTCAGCTTACAGCTCTAGTGAAGTGGACATCCTTGAGACCAAAGCCTCTCAAAAACTCGTATTCCTGGTCAAGAGTTTTCTGTATTACAGTTGGATCATCACGACTAATGGAAAAATTAGCTCCGTCCTCGGCGAACCTATTTCGAGGAGATAAAAAAAATATAAGGTCATTTTCTTACAACTCTAATTTTAGATGAGATATTAATAACTTTTATCTAAAGAAAAGGCAAAGGTTGGTGTTAAGTAAGGAACTCTTGAAATAATGTTGAAACTTTATTCTGTCGTTCTTAAATCAATCTGATAGAAAGCGGTGGGTTAGAACAAATTCATTTTCAGTTCGTTGATTTAACTCATGGAGTAATATCTATTTTGGGTGGCGATAAATCGTCTGCGAACTAAAAAGCATTTCTCTTAATGAAGTTGCCAACGAAAACAAAAGCCGATTTATAAAATTTAAGTTTAATTTTATTAATCTAAATTTGAATTCTATTCATCGACTTCTTCTATTAATCTAATATGCAAAAAAATTCTACATTAATACTTTTTATGTGAAATAAATTAAAGTGTCCTTATTTTAGTGAAACATATTTTATTCGAAAATTTGAAAACGATATATTAAATGTATCATTTATAGAATCGTTTGCTTAAAAAATTATATTTTTTCCAGTTTAAAATATTATTTTTAATAAATTGAAACAAATTGAGACATATCTGGGTAACAAATTATCAAATTAGCATCAACAAGTGGCCTTTTGCGTAAAACTAAACTCTAATTTTAGCTCGTTTTGGAGGAAATTAACTTTCTATAAAATCATTCGGAAAGAGCGATCTTATGTAATTAAGATCAACAGTAAGATCTGTAATTAAGTTAGNAAAAAAAAAAAAAAAAAAAAAAAAAAAAAAAAAAAAAAAAAAAAAAAAAAAAAAAAAAGTCAATATCAGCTTAATGAAAGAATTGAAAATTTCTTCTTCCCCGAAGCCTTATAAAACGAAAGTGTTCCCATAGCAACACAAAAAATGATGTAGTTTACGTCTTTCCTATGTCAATAAAGTAAATTTATAGCATCGATTCAATCAATATTTTGCATCATAGATATAGTTGTTATTTTGTGATCTTAGGAGGAAATTAATTGAACAGTCTGAGGGAAAAATAGTAATGTTTTCTTTTCAAATGAATTGTTCAAGCTAACAGGACAATGTATGAATTTTTTAAATTATATAATGTATAGAATAAAATTAATTTTAATATTTATCATGCTTACTTTTGTAAGTTTAAAAGATTTTAAAATTGAATCATTTAAATAATTTTTGGGCAATTGAAATCATTTAATTATTGTATATTTAACAATTATTTACTGAAAAAGAAGGAAAAAGTAGTACCAAAAGTAGTACGGATTTTCCAATTTTACATTTTGAAAATGCGATTTGTTCTAAAAATGAAACAAAGGCATTTAAACACTTAGTAAAATATAGATAAGTGAAATATAGATAAGTGCAATGTCAAATTCGGAAACTCGTTTGTCGAATGGTTAATAATTTAGAATTAAAAAAAAAACATTTCTTTTTATTAAAAAATATTTTAGTTAGCAGAATATGTTTATATTCTATATCTAAGGTCAATATGCTTGTCGATTTTAGGCACATATTTAGGCACAGGTCGATATGCTTGTCGATTTCAGATGCATATTTAGGTATAAGTCGATATACTTGTAAATATTAGAAAACTATACGTTCTTTAACAAAAGATATCAAATCTTAATCTTTCCCAGCGTCGGGCATAAGAACTATTTAACAATTTACTTTTCATCACTGCAGTTCGCTCCTCTAAAGCAACGTTGCCACTGGAGACTAAAATTGTAAAAAGTGCCGACAAATAAAACTCTACATTTTGTATCTCCAACTCTACAAGTTAATATTAGCTATTTTTTGTAGCTTATTTTTTTAGTTTTCTTTTGAATGTTAATTCAAAGAAAGTTTTATTGTAAATGTGAATGATTTGAACTGCAAGTCAGAAAAGTATTTACGATTGAATAATAAAAGAGATTATAAATAAATAAAAAGTGAATTGAGTTTCTACCACTCTTTACAATTTTAGTCGCTTGGGGCATCCCTGGCTAAAGTGACGCCTCTGAACGGCGCACCACTACGCGATGTGTAAGCGATGCATGTTCCAATTGTGTAGTGAGACAAATGCTTCACAACATATAACACAAGCACATGAAACTTATTCCTACTTACAAAACTTATTGAACGCATTCAAAATATACTTTTAATAGTATTAATCCAATATAGGTAAATGGAATCTTGGCGTAAACGTAAATAGAATGTTAGCCAGTGGCAGTTTGGGGCGGTTACCAAGCAGTTTCGCGTCAGCTACTTACGGCGCTCGTACATACAGGGCATCGCGTGGAAGCTAGCTAAATACGGCGCACAGGATATCACGTGAGTCGTGGATGACGGCTAAATATGAAGTTGGTAACAAAAGGGTTTAAAAAAAATTTAGAAATTGAAGGTAGGTTTAATTTGAAATAAATATAAAAGCTGACCTGACAATAGGATGCTTCGTAGCCGACAATGGAACTGATCCAGTTAAACAACTAGAGTAAGGACATGTTTCGAAGTGTACCCTGTCGTTCAGACATCGTTTGTACAAGTCTGGATCATCAACTACATGATAACCATGGCCTATACGCTCTGCTTTCATCTCTTCCAATGCAGTTTGGACATTTGAAGACGGACCAGCTTCTCCTGCGTGAGCCGTCCGATGAATACCCAAGCTCTCTGCAAGCTAGAACAACAAACAGGTTTTGAGTAGCAGCTTTTATCAACAGACTGAATAAACAAAATTAAAAATTATGTAAATTAAAAAAGATAAAGTCTTTCATAAATGCAACACAGAATTTAACCATGAAGCACCAAACGTATTTAAAATTTAAAAGGTGCAAATGTTTGATATTCTCTTGCGATTATTTAAAAAAAAAATTCCTAGCTAAAACAAGAAAATAATCAACTACACACCATTTTAATTTTTTCCAGACATCTTTTTTTCTTCGTAAATAATCTCTGATTAACAATAAAGCTTTGATCCTCCAAGCGCTGAGACCCTGGGCAAAGTAATACTGAAATTTTTCTGTTTCGCACTATTTTTTCTTTGAATAACGTGAAAAACACTGCATTTTTGATAAACAAAAGCCCGTATTTAAATTAGGAAAAAGTAAATACAAACGCTTAAAGTTTTAAATTGTTGGACATAATCTCTAGATTAATTTATTAAACTACTATAAAAGTACTGTCCTTGCTACCACTGCGAAAAATATTTCTGAAACTTTGGTTGAAGTCTCTGATTATAACTTTTTTTATCTGCTCCCAATATAGTAAAGAAGTTGGATGCTGGATATTGGGGTTATCTCGGCGTTTGGCTCGAAGCGCCACTAACCGATTCATCGATTCTGTTTTGTTGTATTCTGGGAGGTCCTATATATCTTTGAAGTTGTAGTATGTTGTAACAACAAGTCAAGTCCTTAAGGAGTAAATCTTTAGTTTTGAAGGGAAAATCATCTTTGGATTGGGGAGATCCCCTTGAGTAGAGTTGTATGATAAAGTTAATAGTATTTTGATAGTATGCAGTCTGAGCATAAAAAGGCGGTAATTGGGCTGAAATTCGAATTATCACGGATTATATCAAGAACGAACAACTTATTGAAATTTGATGTGATGCATGTTTTTGCGTCGCCATAAAATTTTGTGGTCAATTTAGCTATAAAGCAATTGATATCATCAATGTTTAAGTCTTTTCTGAGTAATCTATTGCTAATCGCCCTTGGGGCGCCAGTCATTGTGCGTAAAAATTTACCTTCAGTTGTAGATAGCTTCTTTTTTAGGTTGTTGCTTATAGTAGTGAGGGCTGGGCAAGCATACGTAAGAATTGGTCGAATCGCTTGTATATAGATAGTTCTTTTATTTGATAGATAAAGCTTTGAATTCTTATGCAGGAGGACTTAGAGCGCAAAGAACGCTCCTCTGGCTCTTTTGCTTATGTCGTTTAAGTGAGTACTCCAGCTCAAATTATATGAGATCGCGATGCCGAGGTATTTTACGTGTTTCACTGGTTTGATCTCAGTATTAAAGAGATAGATTTGGGGAGTATTTTGTTGTTTTTTCTTACTATTCATGATTAAGAATTGACTTTTGTCGGGGTGTAGTTTTGTGAGCCATTTGCTGCACCATGTTTCAACTACTTGTAGCAGGGTAACAGCGCGTTTTGTATTCATTGACTTAGTTATGATTGCCGTATCATCAGCATATAGTGCTACAAACTCGATTAGGTTATCATCATTAGTCGGAAAATCTGCAGTGTACATAACAGGGCCCAGAATTGAACCCTGCGGTACACCCGCAGAGTAAAGAAGTGGGCGCACTCAGTATTTATTTCAGTGAATTTTTAAAAAAAAGTACTGGTAAGAAATATACTATTAAATTGCATAAAAACTATAGCTTGTATTAAGAAATAGAGTGCAGATGTAAAATCGGTCAAAAATCTCATGTAACAGAAAAAATAATTGCTCCCCATTGTAATTTTTTCTGACAACGACTGAGGTAAATTTTAATTTAAAATCACAAAGCAATTTAAATTTTATGAAAACGCATGCTCAGAAAAATAATGTATCAAACATGGTAAAATAGCGAGAAACTGGTTCATAAATAATAATTTCTCATAAATATCTATACGATTTGAATAACTTATAAGATTTTAATTTAATATAAATGAATAAATTTACACATAATAATCAAACAATTTTCAATTCATTTCAAGTAGACATTTAAAGTAAGAAATATTCTTTGTCCGATATTTACCACTCTAATGCTAATATAAAATCAACTTCATTCAACTTTTTTCACATAGCCTTGCATAAAAGCATCATGACTTGCACTCAGCTTCGGTGCTAAGCTTAACTACTTGTTAAGTGATGAGTTTATCACTTTCTTCTATTATTTTTAATTGAATTCATTACATTTTTGGAACCATTCTGAACCTAGCGCTAACATCTTATTAAAGAGACGGCCCTTTTTTTAAAAAAAAGGTAGCAGAAATGTTTTATTATTAGAATTTATTTTACAACATTTTAGACTCTTACCAGAAAAGGACTGGCACAAAGTAATTTTTATATGGTTTTTAAAGTGATTAACCTGTAGTTATGAAAAATAAATATAAATTAAATAAATTTACTAATTTAAGAATCATACAGAAAAACATAAACTTTGTTACCACTAAAAAAATTTCCTAGAAAGTGTTAGTCAAGTAAGTGTTTTATATGCAAACTAATTTAACAAAGCACATAGATAGTTTCTTTTAAACCCTTTGAAGCAGATGGGACACTGGCGTCCCTGTTATATATTTTTTTTCTGACGCTCTTATTAGAAGAAAAATGCATTGTAGAATTTTTTATTTATGAAAAACAGTCTACTAGTTACTTAAAAAATCTGTTAGAATATCTGAATTATATTTGTACCAAAATATAAAATCCAAAATAAAGGAGTTTGAATTTTTTTTTCCATTTATACTCAAAAATTTATCAATAATTGATTTTGTAAATTAAATAAATTTCAGTAATTAATAACTGTTTCTTTTAGATCTAAATAACTACAAATAAGTGCAAATTTTAAAAACTATTGTTTGGAAGTGAGCCATGTTTGGAAGATTTTACCTTTTACGTATAAAAAAGCACTGGGTTTCATGCTGCATATTATATCCATTAATTATTAAAATGTTAAATATAATATTTTGACTTAAAGTAATGATAAAAAGCATGAAAAATATGTTTTAAAAAAATTCTGAGTCAAAGGGTTAAAAAATATAATAGACATATAATGCACAAAATAAACAGAAAAAAAATTCGCCTAATGCACAATACTCCTTCTTAGAAGAGCTACAAAAAGCCTTTTCATTCAGAACGCTTTATGAGTAATTGAACAATAAATGTAAAGAATATATACGAAGATTTGAGAAGTAAAATGTTTTATTGGTTTTCTTTGTGACTGTAAGAACTATAAAATATTGAATGAAATTTATTTTCTCTATAGATTTATTTTCTATTGAGAGTGACTCACATAAACAATAAAATGCTTTTTTTTCTTCATGATATTAAAAAGAAACAATGATTAACCCTTTCGGGTGCAATTTTCTTAAACGCGTATTCTCATTTTGCCCAAATATGAATACATATTAAACTGCATAATACGCATATTATTAATACATAAAAATAAGCTGACGAATGTTTACGAATAAAACGAATGTTTGAAAACTCACTGATTTACTTTTCCAATTTAATAATCGGAAAACAGAAATTCCTCGCAGAGATTCTTTAACCGAAATATTTTTTTATATATATATTATTAGGAATATAAACAGTGTAGTTTTCGAATGCTCTTTTAGAAATTTTACTGCAAGTGACGTTGAGTGGGTATCTCGATCCTGATTCGTTGTTAAAGCATGGCATTTGTTTACGCTATCAACTGTTCTTTCCCTTTCTATTTCGAGTAAACCAAGCCTGTTGAGTATCAATTCTCTTAAGCGACACATTCTATATTCGTACAGAAAGATTTTGTCACAAAGCTATTGATTCTTTCGATACATATTTTTTACTTAACACAAAGACATGCATGAAGCCATGTAGAACATTAAAAAAAAACTAATTATGCATCGAAGTTGCCAGGTACACAAAACAAAAAATATATCACGGTTACAATAAAATGCATAAACAAATAATAAATCTAAGTTAAGTAAGTTGTATTTAATGAACTTCACGTTAATTAACATTCCAACTTATGTGGAAAAACTTAGCTCAACTTTAACATGCCATTTTGCTTATAATCGATTAGATGGCGCTGACGTCATAGATCACATGTGTGGGTAATTGTACAAGTACCTAATTCCAGTTAAACTTATTTTGTATAATATTTTGCCCGCACCTAAAACTTCTCTGCACAATTAATAGATTTTAAATATATATCTTTAAGTAGTTTGTATGTAGTAGTGAAAAAAATCATTCTAAATTTAATTTATTAAACCAATAATAAAATGCTAATTCTTAAAATTTACCACCAATCTAAATATTTATATACAAATATTCGTATAAATCGAGTGGTAAATTAGGAATAGTAAATGTGCCTCCTGACAAAAATTTTCGACTGCAATTTGCTCTTCCGTATGGGTTTTGCATTAATGCGTTGAATGCCAAGCTAATTTTACATGGCTTGCCCGTCTGGCCACAACGGTATATAACTAGAAACTAATTTTGCAAATATTGGACAGAGTTTTCTAGTTTTTTAGAAAGTTTTGCATGACATATCATTTAAAAGTGGTGAATTATATAAGCCTACGAATTGTTTAGAAATAGTGGTGGATAAAAATCTACTAAATTGAATTTATTTAATCAAGAATCACAATTAATAATCACAATTGAAAATATTTATTCGCTGTCCAGAGCAAGTTGGTATATCTGTGTATGTATATAAATAAAACTATTTTTGTGTGTTCTATATCGCATTTATTTCTTCTAACCATTTTAGTAACGATAATAATATACAAATATTAAAAATTTACTCGAAAAATGAGTTTCTAATTATCTTGGCTTGGCCGGTCACCGGTGACCCCCATGGCATTCAACATGTTAATGGGGATATATTTTTGTGGGTACATTTGGTAAAACCCAATTCTGCTCAGCGTTCTTTAAAAATTCGGGTTCCTTTTTTAAGCAAGAAAAAAGTGGTAGCAGAAGTTTCTCATTTTTAAACTTTATTTTAACATACAAAGGTTATTCAATAGTAAATCTTAATAGTACTTTTCTACCACTATTAAATTGTTTGAGGAAAAAACTTAGAAACACTTACAATATAAATGCAAAAGAATTGCATTGTATTTAAAAACGTCAAGGACATTAACGGTACCATTCCTACATGCAAAATAATTTTAATTTCAATATAAAAAGAATTAATTAAAAACTGGTAAAATATAGTATAGGTAAAATTTTTTATTATTTTTTTAAAACAGCCTTTTCAAACTAGAACTAGAAATTCATTGACTATGAGAACTATTTATTTAATATCTACTAGCTTCAAAATGCAAGAAAGTTGACAGTCCTGTCAACTTTCAATGCTTTTTGGGTAAATTTCTTCTTGTGGTAGCTAAGTGTTTGTTTCAATGAATGATTCCTTTTTTCTACATTTTATTTTCAAGGCATGTAAATGATTCAAAAGTTCTTATGAAACATGATCAGGCCTTTAAAGTGTTTAAAAAAATCACCAAATATTCCGAGAGTTTTAGTTTTAATTGTCTACTACTCTGTAAAATATTTGGCAGAAAGTGTAGTATTTGACAGTATACTCATAGTAATAATAGGCTGATTCAACCATTTTATTTTATAGGGCCGGGATAGCTTCGTTGGAAAGGCATTGGGCCCATGACCAAGGGGTCATGAGCCCAACGGTCAAAGTTTCCCAGCGTTGTAAATAGCGACTGGTTCACGTAAAATCTGTCAGATCACAATGTCCTCTACGTTCCCATACTAAATCACTACCTCAGGGGGTATTAAATTGGAGACTGATCGTTCTCTGGTTCAGGTCAAAATTACGATCTGTGAATAAAAGAATGGATGTATGAATGGATCCTTATAAACGGGCTGAGACGTGTGTGTGACTGAAATCGCATACTTTGCCATAGATGGCGCCACTGACAAGAAAAGCGCCATCTGCCTTAAATTCGTTAGGCTTCACCAAGTAGACCTGTTGATATTGGCAAGTGGGATTAGAAACAACATTTTGTGAATAACAGCGCAACCTATGCACTGTAAAAACTGTGGAATAATGTATCTCCGAATTTGATGTTGGAAAATCCTGAAAGCTTTATGAAAAAGCACTTTTTTTAAGTTAACACTAAATAGAGTTTTACTATACAATTTAAAAGATTATTGAAAGCTCCATACACCAAGATCTCTCCCTTCACACCATACGTTAAACATTTTTGCTTCCGAAAACTTCAATGTTGGCGCGTTTTGATTTCCCACGTTATATGTTTACAATCAATAACGAATCGGCTAATGTTGGCAGCTACCATCAATGATTCTTTCATCTGCACAATCTAAAGTTCACAGTTGGATCAACGCGAACTTTATCAACGTTAATGCCCGACTTGATATGTAGTGTACTCTGGACATCTCACTCCTTCATCTGATGAAATGGTATAATGGCTGAGACTAAATGACTTTGGCAAAAAAGATTCAAGTGTTGGCTGTGAAGCCTCTGTGAAATTACAGTCATATCTGAGTATGTTAATGCCCGACTCCAAAAAGTAGTCAGTATATGAAAAGCAATAACACCAGAAAAGTGGTTGTTCGTATTTGTATTATTGATTTCGTTCGTTTACTTACAACTTAGCTTTTTAAAAAACAAAGATGCTTTGACTTTCGATCTAAATTTAAGTATTTATATCTTAAATATATTGCAATTGGTAGAACTTCCCTGTTTCCGCAAAATAAATACTAATAATGAAGCACGTCATTGAAAGGACGCAAGGTAAAAATGGATTAAAAATGTGTATGAATATTTTTAGTTGTGTAATGAGGATATATATATTTAAATTTCCAAGTCTCTGTAAACTGCATTAAGTGATTTTATAATGTATTAATTTCTATCTAATCCCATTAAGATTATTAAGATTCTATCCCATTAAGATTCTATCTAATCCCATCCTATTATTACACCCATTAAGCCTAGATAGAATTCGTCTTTTGTTCTTGACAATTTTTTGCTATGGGTATGTTTGATTCACAAACTCATTTTGAAGAATTAGTGCATATATGCAAGCTAAATAAATGATTCTTACTTTATATTGTCTCGTAAAAATAACTTTACAGTTTCTTATATGTATCTTATTTTACTGTACTTATAAACTTTTATTAAATGACAAACATGGCGGTTGGTGGCGGTTACTTTTCACGAAGTAGTGTAAAGAACATTCCAGGTTAACGGCTAGTAAATGGTGTTTCGTGGACCTCCAGGATTCCATAGAAAGATCACAAGGGTTCCGTGAGTTAGGACTCTTTTTAAACTAGTAAGATTTTTAAAACCTGTAACAGGTTTGTAGTTAACCAATAATCCGTTATTCATTTATATTAAAGTAATTTTTATGAAATTAGTTTTGTAAAATTGCAATACCGAAATTACAATGACCGAAATGCAATCGCACCACGACCATACCTTATTGCTACCCGTAAGCTTCAATAAAAGCGTTTCCTTGAAGGAAGGAATACTTTTATTTCCACTAGGGTGTATAATATTTTCAGATTTAGTACATTATTTTTTATTATATTTAAACTGTTTTATTACAATCTTAGTCTTATAAATGTAGGTTAAAAGGATTTTGACTAACATTACATAATAAAAATTTAAATGTTTGTTTGAATAGCTAATAGTTTGTTTAGGTAAATAAAAAGCAGAAAGTTATTTTGACATTTAACTACATCAGGGAAATTTTTTTTGTTCGAAAAGCGTGAAAGTTTGCACCCATTAAAAAAATAAAACATACCTTTAGTTGAAGGAAAGAAAAAAAAAATTTTTTTTGATATTTTCAAAACTGTTACTGTCTTTACCAAATAAAAAGAGTGGATTGAATTTAATTCAATACAGAAAGCCGCCTTTCTAACATAAACATGCACTTTAAAATTGAAAACTAAAAGCACAAAATTTCCCATTTAAATACACCTATTAAATTGCATTAAAACAGTGTATGAATAAAATATCCAATTACATTTTTCACCACTTCAAAATGTTAATATTGCTCTAAAAATTAATCTAAATTTTTGTAAATATCTGAAAATGTCAAATTATGTTTATATTTATATATGTCAACTTAGATTCGATGAATCAGATATTCAAATGTTATATTTACTCAAGCAAAGTGCTTGTTTTTCTATTAGCTACCACATCGACTGCTAAATTCAAAATGTTATTACTATAAATTTTCTGTAAATTTCCAGATGTATGGGATAGGAGCCGCTAAGTGGCCCAAGTGCCCAATTTTTGTAAATAAAGTAAGTAAGTAACAATCTGAAATTTTAAAAATTTGTTTTTCAGAAAATCTTTAAGATACACATTGTACTAGAGCTGCAATAGTACAAATAGTCAATATTTAGCACAGTAGACTCCCGAAAATCCGGTTTAATGTGGAAAAGGGTAAACCGGGTAATAAAACAGTCAGATAAGACGAAGTTTTACTCTCCCCTTACTCTCCTAGATAACTAAAAAACTTATCACACATCTCAAGAGAAAAATGATTAATACAAAACTACTCAATATTTCTTAAACTATATAAATGGGAAAAACTACAACAAGAAGAGTCGGGTCAAAATGATCAGGGAATCCAGAGGTCCCTCAAACTTATTGTGGTAAATAAATTTCTGTCATAAAATATATTTCATGTTTTTTAAAATTTAGCCTGAAGCATTCCTGATCGCCATAATAATTCCATAACTTACGAGTTATGCAATGGATGGAGTGAAAATTTATATCTTTCTGTGGTTACTGAAACAGACCTGCTGCTTGGATGATAAGTTAAGTAGTACCACTATAAAAAATTTTAGGACTCTCTGAATATACAAAAGAACTACTTGAACATTTTTTTTCTCCATCTACTACGGCGAGTTTGACAAACAACCGTTTCCTGCATTCACAATTTTTTATCAGAAGCGGATAGTCAAAAGTCGGATAAACGGGAGTCTATTGTAATTGCTTAGTAGGTTTAAATCCTCATAAATATATACCTTAAACACCCTTATAATCTCTTTATCTGCCAGTCCTTTAGCTTCATCTCCAGCGACATCGATTCCAACAACACCATGAGATTTGAACTCCTGGCACAGATCAAGAATTTCCTGAGACCATTCTGCAGATTAAATCCAAGTAAAACTAATCATTTCTGATACATTTAAAAACATGGCAAAGAAAAATGGGAGATTTTGTAGTAACGTAATTTGCACAAATAAAAACAAGAAAAAAATTTTGTTATTGACGAAAATGTATGTCTTCTTCAAGAAATTGACAGTGAGTGATATTTTATTATGAAAACATGGCCATACTATGGCACACTTTCGACAATAAATGCGTTTTGTATTTTTATCAGTGAAAATTATGGTACTTCAATGTGTCCCGTCTTCCTGTACCATCCTATAGTATTGATTAGGTAAGATTAATTTGAATAAATTAGATTAACAAAAACAATGAATTAGAACGCTTATAAAATTATAAAACGATTAAGGGATGAATGATAAGTCCAAGATGGTGTGGTTAGAATCAGAAATACGTATTTAGTTAAGGGAAATACTAGTTTTTTTGTCTAGTAGCTTTTTTTGTCTAATAGTTTTTTTGTCTAGTAGTAGTCATTTTTTAATGGTCCCGCTCACCACTCTTCTGTGCCACTGAAACTTCAGAGAAAGATCGTGATCCCTTTTTCTTCTGTGATGCTGGATTTTATTGTGTTTCTCTATTTTTACTAACAATAAATAATTTAAATTATTTTTACAGAATGATATTAGCAAATATATTTCAAAGAACAACTTGGAAACCATTTGAGCGATCTCAAAGTTATTAACATGCTTGAATTCAGCATATCTATATATAGATCGTCATTTCGTAATTGGATCTCATTACCTTGGATGATATGACATAAATTAAATTAAAGCTATTCTGGCTGAAACTGTACATTGAAAAACATTATACGTTAGATATTATTTAACCTTTAAGATGACAGTCAAACTTGCAAACATACACTTAAATAATTCTGAGCCTTTCTGGATGGAATGAAATAATCATTGGGTTATCATGTTCAATCAACGCCTTCTATAACTGAAAGTCTCCACGCGGTATCACATAGGTAGTTCGATCAGACAACCATGAGGGTAAACTAGTTTACGAAAAAGCCATTTAATAGAAAATACAGTAAAAATGAGAAAGCGATAGCAAATATGCGTCTAAATTTATTTATTTTTAATTCATGACTATAATCGGTTATTCTTATTAACTAGTCAACCACCAAAGATTCAATTCTCAAATATATATAATAACTTTCTCTCAATTACTTTTAAAATAGAATTTAGTTTCATGCGCACAGTTGATTCACTTTTTAAATAGTCTGCGCAGACTACCAAACTATAAAAAACCGTGTGGAAGCTTTCTGATGTAGGAGGTGAAGGTTCAAGTCCCATAAAAACTGTACCAAAAACAAAGTTATGAGCTTTTAAGACATTTACAACAAACAAAACATACCTATCTTTTTTTTATTCCAAGTGATAAAGAGGGAAAATTATTGCTTCCCATGTGCTTTTTAAGTTACTTAAAAACAATTTAAGAAATATGAACTATCATTTTTTTGTAATTAGATTATCTTTATATTGAAGTTCCAATGCTTTTGTGGCTGAAGCATAACTTTCAAAACTTGGTTGAACCGTTTTGAAACCAAACGCCTCGTGTATCATATTAAATAAAAAATTCTATTTCATCATCTTACCAGGATTTGGTCGGAAACAACATAAGATGCTTCTGACTGATAATTTAAACTTGGCAGCTCCACGATTAAGTCCTTTATTGACACACATGACGACATCTCTGGGGGTCAACTGTCCAGATATCTCGTTCTCCAAAGATGAGCACAGTAAGTGTGGACAATATCGTACTTCTGAGTAAATGACATTTTGGTCAGCAAGATCTTCGCAAAATTCGTAAGCGACACGTTCAATAGCCTCAACATCACCTCTATGGCAAAATTAAATTAGAAGAGATCGCAGGTAAGATTATAATTTTAAAAAAAATTTAAAAATTAAGAAATAATACGTATTTTAGAACTTCCTGACCTATTCACCAACCAAAATAAAGAATTTATTAAAAAAATTACTTAGAATTAATGTAAACACAAAGCAAGTTTGTTACGAAATAAGGTGTGTAGTTATCATGCTATTAATTAAAAGTCAATAGTATTTCGTTGATTTAACTATACTCCGTTGCAAGTTAAGAAAAGAACATTGCGGTATAGGATAAAATGCCCACCTTTGTTGACATTTTTCGTCAATTCAGGCATTTACAGGGCAGATTTGTTGGCCTCTCTTTCAGGGGCCCCATATTAGGTGGGCCAACGTTGCTCCCACAGTAAGGACAGACAGTACAGTGAAGGAAAGAACATCCATACCTTGCCCGGAATTCGTACCCAGAACTTATCTAATGCAAGAGCAGTTCCCTAACCCCTACACAGGCCGATCGGCTATATATATATATATTCTTCTGTGTGAATGAAACTNCTTTCAGGATTTAGAAGATTTTTCCCCTGCTTAGGGAAGAGCACAACCTGAGCATGTTTCCATTTTGGTGGGAAATATTTCAGTTTCAGGCAAGCATTGATGATGTTTAGCAGCTGCTCGATGATGTTGGGAGGGAGGTTTTTAATCATGAGGTTATTTATATTATCAGCACCGGGAGCTTTCTTATTCTGAAAATTGGTGATAATACTGGTGATCTCTTCCACAGTGGCTAGATCTGATGTTAAATGATAGTCATTTTTTAAGAAATTTTTGACGACCTTGCTGATAATGTCATCGGAATTTGCATCAATATGATCATTATTGAGCGAAAATTGTCTTTCCATTGTGTCTGCGAAAATCTCGCATTTATCACTATCGGAATAAGTCTTGCCATTTGGGCCATTTAGTGGCATGTTAGTGGTGTTATTCGCCTTTAGAGATCGTACCATGTTCCAAGCGGTTTTGTCCAGAGTGGTAAGACTCTCGACTTTTTCGTTCCAGGTTTTACTAAAGTAATTGAGAGAAATTTATCTTATATATTTGAGAATTGAATCTGTAGTGGTTGACAAGTGAATAAGGCAAAACGATAATATTCAGAAATAAAATAAATTTTTAGTCATATTTTTGCTACCACTTTCTTATTTTAACTATATTCTGTATTAAATGACTCGTTCGGTAAGTGAATATCCATCACAGTGGTATTTACATGATTTGAGGCTGCGGTATAGAATATTCTGAATTGATATCTTCTGCCGCAATGCAAATTTTGGTGCCTTGAGTTGACAGGAAATGCCAATTTGCAATTATAAAAAATTTGCACGCATATTCCTGTTGAGAAAGAATAATTTTTAAACGCTACCACAAGCCAATCAACAAACTACGTAATAATTTGAATTTTATGCATTTTTTTGTCAAATTTTTACAGTATTTATCCCATTAAAGGGGCAATAGATATCAATTCATAGATATCAATAGACATCAATTATAGATTTTACAAATTTTCAATAAGAGAGTGGACTACTTTCTCAGACTACCTCAAAAAGATTTAAATACTTCTATTCTTTCAGCCCCCGATGCCACGACCAGTGAACGCTTTATAGGCACTGCTAAGAGATTAAAATGGTTAGGTCCTGTTTGTAGAAGCAGTAATATATTTAACTACGAGGTTAAGACAGACTTCTTCTCTCCGAAACTTGTAGTTGCCTTTCTCTGTAAGTGGGTTCCTTAAGAATTCTTAACAAATATTCATTTAGTATAAAATTTTGGGAAAATGAAAATTTCTTCTAAAAAAATGCAAACGACAGAAAACATTTCACAATTTTTTCAAATTAAATTTGAAAAATCAAGGGAAAAAATGTCCACGAAGTAAAAATATAAAATATGCTTCTACTGAATATGATTAAACATTAAAATTAAATGTTCTTCAGCACATTTAATCAATTTTTTTTCATTCAAATCCATTCAATTTAAAAATGCGGTATAAAACGATTTTTTTTATTCAAATCCATATGATTTAAAACCTCAGTAGAAAACGATTTTTTTCAATCAAAAAAAAAATTTATTTTAAAAAATAGCAAACTACTAAATAAGTATCCTTTCAACAAAAAGTAAAGAAGAAAAAACTCTCTAAACTTCATGTTAAAGTAAAATAAATAAATGAAATGAAATGAAATGAAATGAAATGAAATTAGTAAAAAAAGAGCTTAAAGGAAATAGTAAAAAACACGTATTAGTTTGTTTACAATTTTTAGCAAGGTATACTTTAACCATCTAATGTGTCCTTCAGCTCATTCCAAACACGCAATTAACCGCAATACAATTTGGCAGACAGCCATAACTCAAAGCTGCTCATTTAAATTCGAAGACTCTGTTTATTTTTCTGAGCAAAATAAATAAACATGGCGGCTTTGTTGCTTACCGAAACTGCTGAACTCACCCAAACACCTAAAGGTGTTTTTAAAGGCTGAGTTTGAACGAACATACCTGAAAAATTTGTTTATTGGGCATAAAATTAGCAATCTTTTAATTCAAACTGTTTGAAATTTCGATGATGTAATTCTTTTTCCAGTAATCCATTTATTTGTGTCTGCAGTTGTTTGAAAAGATATTGGCGGGTATTAATGAGTTAAAATAAGTGATTATATCTCGAACTTAGTGCATTTTTAATAGTAGATTAAAAACTAATAACAATAAATGTTTAACTTTTTCATTAAACTATTTTTACCTCCTTTTAATTTTTCAAGAACAGTTCCAGCCCTAAACATATCGATTTATAAATACTTATATTAAAAATAGATTATGATAGATGTATCCTGTTTATGAAAAATTATTCGAATAAAAGATTTTTTGTATTACTAGATTTCTCTTTTCTGAAAAAAGGAATCGTCCTTTTGAAACAAAGTTATGCACAAATGGGTTAAATCAACGCCTCCTATGACTGAAAGCTCTCACACGGCTCTTTATTGATAGTCTAAGCAGGTCACTATGAAGGACAACTACTAAATCTAGTTTGGTAGAATGGTAGAAATCATATAAATCTCGGTGAGCTGCCGCTAAGCGGCATTAACCGATTCATCTGTAGTAGTAATTCGATGAATGGAATGGAGATGGGGGGAAGAGGTGGTGCTTAGCACCAAAAATCGAGAGTGTATTTCGTGTGCTAGGGCAACGTCATATCCCTAAGGAAAAAGTCAGTGATTGGGCTAAATTTAGTGTTGTCGTCAATTAATTCAATATCTAGGAGTGAGTTAAAATTGCTGGTGGTACAGGTTTTTGCTTCATCGTAGAAATTTTGGTTTAAATTTTTTATATAGACGTTGATGTCATCAATTTTAAGATCCCTTTTTATACTATTATTGCTAATGCATTTAGGGGCGCCGACGAGTCTTCTTATAATCTTCCCTTCTGCCATAGAGAGTTTATTTTTTAAATGATCTTAGAGTGTTAATGGCGGGTCAGGCATAAGTTAGAATTGGCCTAATGGCATAAGTTAGACAGTGCGCTTGCATTTTAAGTCTAAAGATGACTTCGAGTTTAATATGGAGTTGAGGGCCCAATAGGCAAAATTCGCTTTTTCAATAATTTTATTTATGTGCTGTTTCCAACTTAAATTAGAGGTGATGGTGACTCCTAGATATTTTGCACTCTTTGTGGGTTTAATGATCTGCTTGTATAGGACTATATCAGGAATAGTTCTACCTTTCTTTTTACTATTGAAAATAATCATTTGGCACTTATCCGGGTGTAGTTTTATCTTCCATTGTGAGCACCATTTTTCGATATTGTAGATCTTGTTTTGCATGTATTTGAAGGCTTGTAAATGGCTCATAGATTTCGTGATAATTGCTGTATCGTCGGCATATAGGGCTGTGAATTCGTTTGGATTTTCGTTATTAATAGGGAAGTCAGCTGTGTATAAGATGTATAGTAGTGGCCCGAGGATACTACCTTGGGGCACACCGGCTTGAATGTTTTTATAAGCTGAGAACGAGCTATCGATTTTAATTCTGAACTTTCTATCAGTAAGGAAAGAGTTTATTAAAGTAATAAGGTCTAATGAAATATTCATTTTATGTAGTTTTACGATAAGTCCCTTATGCCATACTCGGTCGAAGGCCTTGGCCACGTCGAGCATAAGCATAAGGGCGGTTTCGTGTTTAAATTTAGCATTACTGATGTATTCGAGGATGTTTACAAGCTGCTTGGTAGTTGATAGGTGCTTCCTAAAGCCATATTGTTGGTTTGGGAGTAGGTGAATATAATCATTGAGTCTTCGTTGAATAATTTTTTCAAAGATTTTTGATAACATAGGGAGTAGACTAATAGGCCTGTAGTTTTCAGGATTAGAGGCTGTTTTACCGGGCTTGGCGAATAGAATGATGTCTGATTTCTTCCATTCCTCGGGAAAATATAGGTTTTTAATGGAGGCATTATAAATATTAACAATTTGGAATACTTTATTTCGAGGGAGATTTTTTATCATGATGTTCGTAATATTATCGTGCCCAGGAGCTTTCTTATTTGCGAGGGTTTTAATGATGCAGGTGACCTCGTCTTCTGATGTCTGTTCGATGTTGTTCTCAATATGGTTGTCTTGATTTATAATATTATTGTAGTGGTCATTTACTATTTTATCGTTTATGGGGCAGGTATTTTCAGTATTGTTGCTGAATTGGGTCTCCATAGTGTTGGCGAAAATGCTAACTTTATCATCAGAGGTATATACTGGGCCGTTTGACCCTTTTAAAGGCATTTTGTTCAGAGGTGATCTCTTCAGAGACTTCGTCATTTTCCAAATTGAATTATCACTATTGTTCAGACTTTCGAGTTTCTCATTCCATAGGCTGTTTCTATGTTGATTACATTTTTCTTTTATAATTTTGTTTAATTTATTAAGTTGACGTTTAAGTTCCGGATTGAAGTTTCTCTGGAATCTTTTTCTCAGTTTATTTTTATCCTTAA